CTCTTGCCGACCCTCACAGGTGTTCCTCTGCAGACCTCTTACAGCCCTCTCTTGCAGACCCCCCACAGCCCTCTTTTGCAGGCCCCTAACAGCCCTCTCTTTTAGCCATGTTTGGGTTTTGCCTGACAGCCCCTTTTCTGAGCACAGCTGCCTCTTACACCATTGGCAGTAGTTGAACTTGTAAAAAGGTAATAAAACCCCTGTTTTACACCTATAATCTGAGTTCTCAAGCTAACTATTTACAGGAAGTTTCACTCTTTCTAAACAGCCTCCTGACACAGTTGCTCGCAGCCTGCCTCAACAGCGCAATGGACCCTCTTCAAGTCTTGCTGTGGAAAAGATTAGTGAGATCTACAACATTCAGAGACTCAAGGTGAATTACAGTCATTTAAAACTTGCTGTTTGATCAAATATGATTGTAATTATTGGTTTCTTTCCTTCCCTAGTGCAAAATCTGGAAACTCTTACCCCATATCCTAGGTCTTAGGTCAGATTCATTGTAGGTGTTCCACACTTGAGAGATATGACTGAGAACTCAACCTGGGAATAAGGGGAAAGGAGTCAAGTCTGAAAAATTATTTTGGTTGACTTGGGAATATTTCACCAAATACCACAGTCCTGAATTCTGTTTTCTAGAGTGTATACAATGAATTGATTTGACGCTGTATTATTTTTAATAGTGTGTTTGCCATTAAATTCTGTTTGGTTTCAAAACTGATTCTTTTCTTACTAACAGGAACCACTTGCTTTGACATTGATTATTAAGTACATCCTGAAGGGATCTGGTGAAGAACGAACAAAGCACAGGGTTGAGGTGTTCAATTTCAAAGAATTTGGAATTGCTGCGGCATTTTACAAGGCTAATTATCAAAAGGAGTGAAGTGTCAGTTGTTAAATAATCCTGCTTCTTACTGAATTTTTACAGTGTGGACACTGCTTTTAAGTGTAGATAATATCAAATATTGAAAGTATTTGAGCAATACTAAATACTAGTCTGATCAAATTTCTTGGAACTACTGAAATAACAAATTATTTCCACATTCCCCTGTCTTAAAAATTGTCCCTGATTAAACACCGATAATGGGAGAAAAATTTAAACAATGGCTGGACAGCATATTATGTTAGAGTATTCTTGAGAAAAAAATTTACAAATTGGCATTTAACACCATACACTGTACTTAGAAATTTTCATCCAAATATCAATGCATTCAAACTTTACACATTTCATTTCATATTTCATAAAATCTCCCATATCTAGAAATTTTTATCAAAAGAGCAATGCATTTGAACTTTACACATTTCACAATTAAGGGATAGGTAATATCGGTGATTTACTCTACATGATTTGGAATAGCCCTTGAGAAAACCAGGTATTAAAATGCTAAACATTCAAGTAAGTAAAAATAGTATGATGAAGAATTCTATCATTGATTTGAAGTGGTGTTTTCTCTCCTGGAATATGTGCAATTGTGGGGATATTTAAGAGGAAATTCTGTAAAATTTGAAAATCAGACAACTTTTGATGTTACTTACTTTACCAAATTATACAGTCATGAACTCTACTGAATGTATGAAAAGACCTTCTCTAGAATCTTACTTACATTTTTTTAAGTTATCACTTTTTTGCAACAAAGTAGCAAGGGAGTACATATACATTACTCTCCTTATTTGGGTATGCCTTTGGAAGGACGGGGTACAAATTTATTGACTGATCCAGTCTAATTGAAGTATAAGAGTTGCATCTGAGCTGGATTCAAGTGACCAGCAAGTTAACCTTAGAGAAAGTTACATACCAGATGCAGAAAATAGAAGATATTATACACTATAGAATAGAAATATTATACACTATGATTTTCTTGTATGAAGTGACATATGAAATGATTAATCTAGATCTGCTACTAAAAATAATAAATAAATGCTAAATATGAGCACAATCAACACAAAATGCCCTGTAACATAGCACAGATTCTATATATACCAGAACACATTGACAGCGTACATTGTCATGGAAGTCCTTGGAGGCAGAGTCATTTGACCAGGATCCAAATTCAACTCTGTCATAGATGTGACTCAGGAATGGCATCATTTAGTTAGAATACTTCATGGAAGGATGACGGTTGAAAAACAAAGCCGTATTGTGGCAGGAGAGTAATTTGATTTTAATAAACTAAAGGTACCTGCCTAAAAGGAAAGATCTATACATGTGTAGAGACTTAATTCACAACAGAATAGCAACCACCTAGTCCATAATAAATGAAGTCCAACCTTTTTAGGTTGAAGCATTTCTATAAACAATGCTTCTTTTTACTGACTCAATTGCAATTATAGAGCAATCATAGAAGTACACATTTAGTTAGTAGGATTCAATATTTGGTATTTTGTAAGTTGTTACAGGTTGATACAAAGTATGCATATTGTGGCCATAGTTCATTACCAGTTTGTGTTGGTAGTGTGTTGTAATAAAAATGCTGTAATTTTGCAACATTGAATGTTAACTTTTGCCAAGCATCTTTCCATCTGGGTTTGTATGTGTGTATGTCGGGTGGGGGGCAGTACTCTAAGTTGCTTATGCCAGAGAGACTGGGGTGAGTTCCAGTGCCTTCTGGGCCACTTTACTTGAGTGCAGACTTTACATTTTTACTTTACTATACCTGAAGTTCAATTGGCTGTTACATTGCTTTTCATTATTTGACCCCTCTTGTTAGAAGCAATATATTCAAAATTCATCATGGAATGGGTTCCTAAAATATATTTTATCTTACTACAAATATCCTAGCATGAATGTCCCTATTCCATAAATTGCTTTTTGTCATATACTCTTGAATTTTCCCTTCTTGGATTCAGAGTGTCTTTACACACAAAATATAATTCAATTCAACTGTTGCCAAGAATTTCCTTGGAATAAATTATTTTAGGATGAAAGATTTCATGGACTTAATGCTAGTTCTGTTTACAAAATTAATGTAGATTAGTGTAGTTCAAGAACCATTTTTGTAAACAGAGGTTGAATGTGGGAAAGTGGGTTGGAGTCTATCATCCTGCTGAGTAAAAAAATTGGACATTTTAAAACCAGATATTGTTGTAATAATCATTGATTTTTATTTAAAAATTCAATTAACAAATATCACATATACTGTATGGCCTTCATTGTTTATATGTATACTTTTCATCAAATTAGAATTGTAGGAACAACCTGATTGGTTGCAGGAGAAAGAAAACAAATGTACTTTCTATCATTATCACCTTGCACTAGCTTCAGTTTGAGACAGCTGCTGTATGATCTGTACTGTTTCTTAAAAAAATACCTTTGACAAAAGGAAATAACTTGTTTTGATAATAACCTTTTCATTTAACTCTTAAAACCCTTAGAGTGGCCAGCAGCTAATTTTTCATCACAGTAATACTGACGAGTTATTCAGTAACATCATGAGAATAAAGGAAATGATCAGCAACCTAAGGAGCTTTGATTGTTAACTAAATTCTCTTTGTTAGTACTTAAGGAAATGCATATGGAAGAGTATGATCATGAAGAATAAGGATACTAATGTTAGGTTGTAAAGGGTTAAGATTATTTAATAAATACAAAAGCTCAGTGAACAACATCCAATGATATGCCCTCAACTTTGTCCCCAGAATATCAAGCAACATCAAAGTAGTGAAAAAAAAAATAATAATAATTATATCATTAATGTAAATAATCTAATAAAAGTACTGTTTAAATAAGTATTCTATCACAAGCCAAACTTCTTGTCAGTCTCATGAGTCTCTGAGTAAAATTCTTAGGAAGTTTTAAATGTATCAGAACATAGATGATGGTGAATCTCCAGGTCCAGATGATGATGTGATTATAAGCACAGGGTGGTGTATGTTTTTTTCTTCTTAGTTACATTATTTTATAGAATATTGTCATCAATGTGATCAGCAGTTGTATTTGTTTATTGAAACAATTGGATTTGACCATTAAACCTCTAGCAATCACCAACTAAAGCTGCTCTGGATTGTTAAACAAATTCTGTGTCGTTACCATAGAAAATGTATAGATGACAGTACAGATACAACACATATTGATTTTAAAGGGTAAAATACCGACAGGAAAGTTCCCCTTGCACTGAGCTGGATCACACCATTAGTAAGGCAGGTTTCATGGTGACTTGTGGCCAGTTTTGCTTGTTTGTTTTTTTTTGGTTTCACATGACTTTACCAAGAAGTAACCTTACAGTCCTAGTCAGTAAAATATCCAAACTTAGCATGCATACTAAAAAATCCCTAAGTTATCAACATTTGGCTTAGCTGAATATTCAGAAATATCAACAAAAAAACCTGACAAGAGTATTAGATATTTGATGGGAAATGCCAAGCAAGTCTAAGAAATACTTTGGTTTTGAACTAATTAACTTTTGCAAGCATGTACATTATTATACAAACCTATAGGTTGCAACGTCTACGCGGTAGAGTAACATTTTGTAATCAGATTGCCAAGCTAAGTTCCAATACACTAATATCTGGCAGTCAAATATGTTCACCAAAGTCCCACAGAAAACCTCATGCAGACCTGATTAGAGTCTACAATGTTTCTTTAGACATGAAAGGTGATACTAATAATTATTTTAGTTTTGGTGGATAGATTTTCCATACTTGTGTACACCAAGAAAATACAAAATTTTTAGTGTCACTGTAACATAGTGATTTAATGGTAAGCTCAAGTTCAAGTTCAGATATCTTGTCAAGTACAAAATTTACATAATTTTTGGGATCCCTTGACATCTGTTTACAAATAGCTGATACCCTCAAGAAGTAGGAAAAAAATTTTTTTCAATAAAAATTCTGGGAGAACTGTTTAGCTGTCAGGCATGTAACAAAAGCAAAACTTAATATGCTGATTTCTGTTGCCACAGTTTACCTTTTTTGTTTTGCTTTTTGAAATGAGAACATTACTGCAATCAAGTGGATACATATATAAAATTTGGAAAAAATATTTTGCCTGATTCTAAATTTTAAAAGAAATGATAAAACAAAGGCTGTACTCTGGCAGAGGACCATGGCCACAGGCAACTATCTTTTGCTTGTGGGCAATGTGTGTAAATATGCTTTTATGAAAGCTGGAAAGTGCTAAGAAACCAAAATTTCTGAGACAAGAGCCTTCATGCACCCCGTGATTCTGTACATATACCTTATCTCAAGGTGATGAAAGACAGATTTCTCCTTCTGTCTCCTTGTTACATACATGTAAACCTTAATGCCTTGTTTCAAATGTAAAAATCCTTATCATGGCAAAGAGGGCTAATTAACATAAATATAAAACAATAATTGCATTTTCCACTTTGGTATGAGCGTAATTTATGGGTTAAATCCAAAATATTTTTAAAGTTGTTGAATTGGAAAATGTAAATTAGAGTTCATCTCTCACCAATCTACTTACTTCAATACATGTTACAAAATCTATTTTGTTACAAAAATTACTATAAATTTTCAAATTTCATATTATACAGTACTATGTATTGATACTTTCATGCCACATTTAGCCTTCAAAGTTCTCAAAATATCATTAATTATTTCTTCCACAGTTTGATCCACAGAGATGTGAAGAGCAGAGTACTCATCACAAGTGACAGGTTCCTCCAGAGTTTCAAACTGAGAGGCAAGTAAACTTAAGGGCATATAGTGTTCTTGCCTTTTTTCCATTCTCTCCCTTACCACATCCTTAGACCCTTTAAGTAGTACAACCAGGCAATAAAAAGGTGATGGCTTCGACAGTTTTTGCCGCTTGTCACCATTTGAGCAATAAGGTGTGTTGTTAGAGCTGGCTTCTGCTCCAAAAAGGATTGTTTGTCTGTATTGTTCTTTGAGAGCTGAACAAGCAAGCACTCCAGATTCAGAACGCTTGCTCCATCTACAGAACAAAGCAAATTTAACTGAGGAGTTACTTTTTAAACCAGGAAAAGGAACAAAATGATACATGCAGTTCAGCAGAGATCTCTTAGATGGAAAGTCCTAGATCTGTGGGTTTGATCAATGTTATTGCTCTAATAAAAAATGACTGCACTAAAATGAGATCTGGAAGTAAGGGTACATTTAACTTAGTTCTTTCTGTTACTGGTTCCAAAATAAATTCTTCCTTGCCAGAAGCATAATCAGGAGTGGGTTACACAGTGGCCTTCATAGACAACACCAACTCTGGATGGAATCCTTCAGGTTTAGACCCCAGCATAATCACAGAGTTCTTAGGCAGGAAACTAAACTCTCACAATGCTTCTCCCCACTCAGGGATGCACATGAGTACCAGCAACCCCTCAGGGAAACCTGAAGGAGTAATAGATGTGGAGGGGAGGGGGGGGGGAGAAGAGAGGGAGGAGGAGGGGGGAAAGGGGAAGCAGCAGTAAACTGTGATGGACAAGCATCCTGAACCAGAGGAACAACAATACTCAGAGTCACCTCATGCCACAGGACACAGAATTGGTTATTATAAATTAAGTAAGTTTACTTGAACTTAAACCCTTTTTCACCCAAGAGTTTGCAAAAATGAATTATCTTTTAACAATATCAAAACCAATTCAAGTAGAATGGTAATGTGAAATAACAAAAATCAACTACCTGAGGGAAACTGATTGATTTAACAAGCACTTTCTGAATTTAAAATTTTAAGAAATGTTTGGCCAAAGGTGTGGAGAATTGATGTTTCAATCTAAGGAGTAATGTACCCTCATCACTCAATTATAAAATCTCTAGACTAACTATCAAAAACATCTACTTTATGCAAATTTCTGTTCACTTACAAGCAAAGATCAATCAACAGTAATTAATACAACTGAGTTTTCTCATTATGGTGTTCTACAATGCCATCTTTAAGCTGGCTTCCCTATTAACAATAATTGCTTAAAATATCAAATAGATGAGTCAATTATCAATTGAAATAAATCTCACATACCTTTCAATAACTTTGTGCAAAGCAAGAAGCCATGGTTGTCTGTCCTATAATATATAAATTGGTAAATAATCATAATACCAGTACTTGAGGAAGAAAGTACACTTAAAAAATTGTTACATAACAAGCTGAATTATACACAAATTTTGATGTGTTCTTACTTATGATCTCTTGGAGGACAGATGCATAGATGACAACACCATTAACCCTTAAACTCCCAGATCAACTTTGTAATTCTCCTTACTTTCAACCATATTATTCTTATAATTTTAGTTCAGAGAATTTAGTATTGGATCGACTAATTATCCCCAAATTGATATTTATCTTTGTTCTCATCACTTATCTGGTTAATATTATGCTGACACTGTAAGGAGAAACTCTGCCTTGGTAATTTGTGGGAGTTGAAGGGTTAACAACATTTTGTGTTTCTTTAATTATCATATTAAACAAACAAATTCCAAGTTTCTGTGGAGCTGTACAGTAAAAGATTGCAAAGAGGTCAAAATGTAGTAAGAACATTACTGACACACTCTCCTGTGGCTCATGTACCACTTTTTTGTTCTTACCACACTTTGACATCATCTGTGGTCTTTTATTGAACAGATGCACGGCAACATGGAACCTATTCGTTAGGAGAAGACTACCTATCATGAGAAGCAAGACAGTGTACTTTAAAAAAACATTTACCTCATCTGTAAGTGCAATCCCTTGCTTCATTTTTGTAATATTTTCCTCTGAATGGAAAGTGTCTGCATCCACATAAGGGCAAGACAACTGTCCAAAAAAATAATCAACTTCATGAAGGAACTAAAAGAGTACCCTGATTCCCCTAGAAAATCTCTTTGAATAAGCACTAATCAATTTTCAGCTGCAATAATATGCTACGTTTTTTACATCCTGATGTCTCTTAAACCCTTTAACCCCTAAGAGAGACTAGCACCTAATTCCTCCATACAATATCACCCCTGAATCACACATTAAGGCCATGGGAATAAAGGAAATGACCACCAACAAAAGAAGTTCTTGATTGTTCAACAAATACTCCTCGTCAGAGCCTTATAAAAAGTATGGAGAACAGTATGGAGAATGTACATTCTGATGTTAGGGTGTAAAGGGTTTAGAGTACTTACAGTTAGAGAGGAGATTAAAAAATCACACTTAAAAACACAACACCAAAGTACCAACTACCATAAGACAAGTCACACCTCTGGTGATAGTATGCTGCAATGTGGCTGAATGGCTCTCTTAGGTATTACAACATAAATAGCACAAGCATATTAAACCTTGACTGCTCATCTTCAGCCAAATATCACTCTGAAGCTTAGTTGGTTCACCTTTTCACTCCCAAGGTCTCATGAATAGTTCTCCTTATTGTCTGCCATACAGTTGTTATGATGTTAGTTTGGAGAATTTGGTATTGGAACAACAAATAATCCCCTGATTGATATTTTTCTTTACATTTCTGCTTGATATTGTATTGATATTGTAAGGAGAAATTATGTCTTCATCACTCATGAGAGCTAAAGGTTTAGTAAATTTAATGAAACCTCGCATGACAGAGTCATACAATGAACATTCCTAAGACCCACCTTCTTCGCCAAAGCACGTGCCACTGTTGTTCTATTAAAGAAAATAAAGAAGACATTCTATGATATCTGTGGTGTAAATTTTATGAAAAGCCTCATAATAATAACAGAAATTAAGCAGTGGACATTCCACAAGGTGGATCTTCTTGTTCATGCTTCAAGGCTGACTAGGAATTTAGAATGTTGGTTTTTGTAGAGGGAGGAAAACTCGAGGACTTGGAGAAAAACCCACTGAGTAAGAATGAAAACCCCTGACAAACTTGACCCACATGTGACGCAAGGTCTTGGAATCCAACCCAAGTCACAGCGGTGAGAGGCAAGTACTATTACCACTGCAACATCCCTCCTCCCCACTGCCAGTGAAACAAACTGACCAGAGCATAAAAGTATGAGAGCTTGTCTTGACTAACAGTGTCTTAGCAGAGGATAAAGTGGAAAACCCTTGAATAATTTTTTTGAGTGAGTTGTGCAATTTCCTACAGTTGAACTCAGTGAACAAGTGCAAATATTACTGGTACAAGATTTGTATCCCCAAACATCCTTGCACTGTTCTTTTCATTAGCAAGTTTAAAAAATAATGTTTACTCTAATAGAAAAGCAAACTAACTAAGGTAAAATCTTTTCCTCTAATCCTCACATCAGCTCTGAAGAAAACTTGAAAAAATAGACCAGTTCGGAGACATGTACAAATGACTGAAAGCAGGTGGCAAGAAGATCAGTTTTTGCTGTCTGTGCCATTCTGCAGTCATATAACATTCTGTATTTTTATGATACAGTAGGTAAAATGAAAGCACTTAAAAAAGCACCAACTGTGGCTGTGACAACACCGTTACTCTGACATGTTTACGACAAAAAGAAAAACAAGGATTTTGATCAATTTTCATGACTGTCTGCCAGTGGCTTTTTTTTTCATCTGCAACACAAGTGGTCACATTGAGAAGCAACACCATGATTCCTGCCTTTCAAACTTTTCTGAATGAACTTGTTTTGTTATGACCCTTGGTCTGTCCATAAGATAAAGAGAAATATATTAATTTTTCGTTCTTGTGGCAAGAAAAATATGTCACTTGTTCACTAAGATCAATCATATCTTGTGACCACTGTGTAATATATTCTCTTTATGAGCTGCAGCAAAATGCCAGTAACATTAGCCTCAATGTTTGTTGTCCTGCTTTTTATGTATTTTAGGATAGGGAAAGTCACTGTAAGTCCTTAAAATCTATTGACATCCATCACTTAAAAAATACAAAATTGGTTAAAACTTACTTTCCACTCCCACACACTCCAGTTATCAACACAACAACCATAATGGGAGATGTTGCAAATCTGATTCCTAGGCTGAGATGTATGCTGAATCAAACCTTTGAAAATAAAAATGCATATCTTCAATCAATTCTTTACCTTAGAGTATTTTCCCAGTTCCTGCTATAAAAAAACCCAAGTGATGGATATATAAGCAATTATGGATTTAAAACTTGCTTCTTAAAAGTCTATTTCTCAGCATGTTGTAATATGCAAAATTAGTTTAATTTATGATATGAAAAGTGATCTTAATACAGTTAAGACTTTGAACTTAATGATTAAAAGTAGAGAAAATTACACATGACATTTTACCAAGGGAATATATTCGGGTAAAAAAAACCAGTCCTGAAAATATCAATAAGGATTCAAATACAAGAGAAGTTGTCTGCATCTGATTAAAGTGGAACATTTAACTCTTCCACATTTGAAATTCAAAACACAGGCATTACACAGCCCAGACTTCCTTCCTACTTAGACAAAAGGTTTTTGTCTGCATCATTTTGAGACATTAATAGATAGGGAAAAAAGATCCACCACAGCATCTGTCAGCTGGGTCATGATAGCACCTGGGACAACTTAACCACCAAAATTAACTTTTTTTAACTTTCTTGCCTAAATAAATCTTACTTGATGCACAACAGCTACAATTTCTCTCTTTTTCAAACCTAAAATAATCATACGCTTCTTATTAAAGTACTTGGAGTACATTTTTTTTTTTGTAAAAAGCTGTTTGAGAAAGGTTGTCAAAAAAAGTGGAAAAGTGCATGAAACAAACCCCAAAGGTATTGTGGGTAGTTTTCAGGTCATGGTTCCTTGACCACAGGATTTGCAGGGAAATCTGAGAAAGTATCACTGCATGAACAGGGATCACAGATTTGATAGTTGTTTATTTTTTATTTGACTTGTTGAAATTCATTGATTACTGGATGCTCAGATTACCTTTTGAGATTGTCGTGTGCACTTTCGTCCTTTTTTTTTCCAACAACCTTTCTTGAAACCAGTTGTATACAAACAGGTATGCAGAGCACACCAAACCTTAGTGATCAATCAGAAAGGCCAGAATGAATTGAGCATCTCTAAAATTCAGTTCAATTCAAGGGGAGACAGCTTGACTGACTGGCAACTGGCAGAAATAATGGCATGTTTTCTAGCAGAGTCCTTGGTGCATATAAACACAAACCATGGGGACATTCACACTATCAATTATTGCAAAGGTGCTACCTTATTTGTGGAGCACTCTTCTCATACATGAGAGGAATGACACTTTTCATATTTCATAATCTACCGAAATCATCCATAAAATGGTGCATATAATGAATTAATGGCTGCAAGAGGACTAACATCCTATATAAGGGGATTGCACTCTGATTCTGGTAGGTAAAAACTGAAGGAAAATACTCTTGACTTCCCATAAGCCACAATCTACCAAATTCATTACAAAGATTGGATATTTGATGAAATAGTAAGGGGTAAAGTGCAAAGAACTAGCATCCTACACCAAAGAGTCATGCACTTATTTTAGTTAGGTAAACATTAAGAGAGACTAAGAGTCTCCTTTCAGGTTACCCCTATTACTTCATCATATAACTGATCTTTGCGATGAATTTGATAGATTGTGGAGTTTAACCTAACTAGAATCAGTACATGACCCCTTTTATGGGAATTGTTAGTCTTCTTGCTTTTTTCCCCTTGTACTTCATCTTATGCCTGATCTTACAGATGAATTTTGTAGATTGTGGATTATGGGACGAGTTATTTCCCTCAATGTTTACCTATTAACCAGAATCAGTGTACAATCTACTTTTATGTGATGTCAGTCATCTTGCATGTTACCCCTTGTGCTTCATATTATGCTCAATAATGAAGTATTGAATTTGGCAGATTGTGGATTATAGGAAGTCAAGAGTTATATCTTTTTTTGGTGTTCAGAATTGAATTTTCTTCTATTACATTTATCACTTGCTAAGTAACATTGACAAAATGCAAAGCAAACACTTTGAAATTCAGTGCCCCTGCTATAATCACCTCACACAGAGTGATTATAGTGAGATACGAGGCAATCTCTGACTAATTAGAGCATGTGCATCTCTACAATCACTGGAGCAATTAAACTAACTACGCATAAGGGGGGAGTATTAATAATCCTGGTTGTTTTGATAATTAAAAGGAGTAGCAGAGGTAAGAGGAAAGGTCTGGTTGTCTGGACCCAGTGGTTCTTATGCAATACTAAAAATTAAAGCCAGAAAGATCTTTTGTTAATAGCTTATCCATATGAGCTGATAGATCAAGAGAGAAGTAATCAGGTAAAAAGCGATATGGCATCAGTGAAGAGAGACTATTTTTTACCACTCATCCCCCCCCTTCTAAAAACATTTAGAAGCAAACAAAACCTAAATTAACGTTAGACCTCTAAGCAGTTTACTATTTATGCCACCTCCTATCATAGGGAAATTTCAGTTTTTCACCAAATTCAAACCAAATAGACCCACTTTAAAGTGAAAGCAAAGACCAATGTATTTGTCACATGCTATTCTATACACCTTCAAAAAGTCATTAATGATTCAAAATATTTATATCGACAAAAGGTTAACACAACTCAATAATATCCACAGGGCATATTTAAAGAGAAACTAAGTTTTACAAAGTGAAGCTGGTCAGCACAAAATTACACTTTGTAAAATTATCGCAATATAGGCTTAATGATTGAACCTACATCTACAAGGAAAAAATGTTGAAAATATTCTTCATAACACTGCCAACGTGATACAGTATTGACTTGGATTTGTTTCAATTCCTATCAACCAAAAGCGCCATCATTCTTTTGTGATCAAGACATAATTGAAAGCAGAGATTTTAAATTCCTTACCACGTAGGACATTGCGATTTTCTCCTGAATCAACTCAAAGTAACGAAAACTCCGAGATATGTGACGAAACGACAAACAGAACACGAACATGGGGGTCGATATCGAGATTGTTAGAGAGTTGCGGTGTACAATTTCTGGCACGTTTTGGCGCCTCGCGTAAAAATTTAGTAAAATTATTAAAGTTGTCGATAACACGATATGATTATTCTTCTAACCAGCCTCAATTCATCTCTAAAACGAACCCACAAAATAATAACTAGTTACTTTACAGTACCTTGTTGTTGTGATATCTTAACTTAATCGGTTTCCTATTCAAAAGAGCTTAAGCATTCATGCATTCACCGCGCACAGAAACCAATACATATTTTTTTCGAGTAAGCTCTCTATTACCTCTTTTAAAAAAATACACATATCAACTTAAATATGAACTTTACCTGTAAAGAAACTTGTCAACAGTAACCCAAAAACATACTGTACCTCATCGGTACAATCTCCGCGTAGACCGTGATGAGTATTGAATGTTCGACATTAGGTCCATAAAGAAACCAAAAGAGTCCTGCTCAACTCCAATTGGATGGTAAAAATAGCAACATTTAACTTCACAGTCCTACAACTCCGCGATATCAAAATATGGGACACTCCTGCGTCTTTCACCTTGACTAAGTATAAAATTAAGGCAAATAATGGCAAGAATCTTCGAATCGAGTTTCTCTCTGCACTAGTTCGACCCCAGGACTTGGCGTGAGCGCACGTCCACAACAACCAGAAATGCAATTCATGCTTCAGCAACTGCTTCCGTAGCCTCTACCCGCTTTCCCACTACTGTCAAACTTTAAAGGTTTCTTGAGACAGTCTTTGCCTTAAAATACAAGAACTAACGATATCAAGAAGATTGTTCCTATCTCACAGCGGAGTTAGGTGTTTTCGTTTGATGGAAAAAAAGGTTGTAACATCGGGAGAGGGGACGCCGCCGGGAACATTTAATACATTTTATTTATACATATTGGTAAGCCATTCTCTTTAAGGAAAAAGCCGAGCAGATTTCCAAATATTGATGGTCATGGATGTCATTGAGAAAAATGAATCATTTCCTTACAATGGTTTCCCGTGACATTCTTAGCATTCTTAGCTGGGCATTCGATAATTCTAATGTGAGAACCAACATCACAGCGTAATAAAACGAAGGCGAATATCGCAGAGAAAAGAGCTCAAGGTGTGCAGTAATTAAATCTCTTGAGCGCAATGTTATCAAACATCTGATCTTCTGTTAGGAAAAGAAGGACTGGGATATCGGAAGCTGACAAGTGAGTTTCCTAAAGGGGTGGGGGGGGAGACACGTACTTAACAAGTTGGAAATATTTGCGGGTGTGGTGAGTGGGGGCGGTGAAGAAAGGTATTTAAGGTTTTAGGAAAGGTTAGGGAATTAGGTTTCCGATGGAATCTAGTCCAACAAAACTCTGCTTGTGGTTAGGGCAATTTCCGACGGAGTGTACCAACGACCAATCAGATCGCGGGCGAATATCACAAGGAAATTATAAGAAAAATGTCTTAAATACCTCTCATTAACTTTAAATTCTTACGAGTGACCATAACAGAATATCGTCCTACAATATCGACCCAATAACAAGCAGAAAAGTGATAAGAATAAAGAAAAATATCATTTAGGGGAGTATTAGTTGATCCAATACCAAATTCTCCAAGCTCACATCGTAAGGGTTGCATGGTAGACAGTAGAGAGAGTTACTAATGAGATCTTCGGAGTGAAAGAGTCAAGAAAAGTCTGAGGAAGGGCAATTCATAAATTCATTTTCTTTAAAATGTTCAGTTTGCTAGGTTAGCTCCTACATCTAGCCTTTCCAGCCATAGAACGTAGTAGGATCAAAATCGAAGACATTTTTGACTCACAACTGAAGTTTTAATGTCAACCACATGCTTTACAATGAAAGTTGGCGAAGTTTATTTCAAAATCCTACAGCAATATAGAGCTTGAACAACCTAACCTTTCTAAGACTGACCCCTTATGGAATGTTTCCACCAAAGAATTCCCTCACGATCACATTAACATTTTTAATAAGCAAATGACAGACAATGCTAAGAAAATACATTTCAGCGAGCCTGTGTACGTTTGCCTACCTAAAAAAAATCATAAGGCTCATACGACTGTTCAAAGTTTGTTTTAAACCGTGTATCGGCCACGTCACATGTAAAAGAAAACGTGAGGTGCTTCTACATCGATGCAAACAGGATTCCTGTCTATTCAAGTCAAGTCGGAGAAACAAGAAATCAATTGGGCTTTGTCTCCGAAAATGGACTGGGCTTACAGTCACTAATAGACATGTTACTCGGAATCGCGTGGTATTCCTGTGGCACCACCACTGAGAAACGTCCTCTGGAAATATGTCGAATGGTCATTCTACTTCTTGATTGGCTAGAAACAAAAATAACCTTTTCCGTAAATTTCGACAAAAATTTACCGACACACTTGCTTCTGCAAATAAGTGACCGTTTGGCTTAAATTGGCCAATACACTGAGAAACCTATGACTTTACGACAAATTCATACCTACACAACAATATTACATACCTGGCCTCTACTTATTTTACATTAGCGCTTCGCTCTACTTATTGAACTAGAAAACATTCAAAATTTATGTCTTAAATACCCCTTGCAGAGGTGCAATCCCCTCAACCTAACAAATCTATCACATTACAAATAATAATTACAACTGATGATATTTAAGTTAAGACACCTCGACCACGTTTGAATTATGTTCCCATATCACGTATGACGCCAAAATATTACATGAGCCAGCAAATGTTGTCCGTGGGACCAATCAATGATTCTTCGCTAAGGGTAGAGGGGGGGAGGTTTAGTCGGAGTTACTTGGAGATCACATGGTTTTCAGGGGGGACAGGCGTGGATCAGTCGTCGCTAACAGAGCATAAGGGAAGGCCTATAGAGAATTGAATACCAATTAAGGTGGGGGATCATCAGAATACTACAGAGTCTAAGGGGGGGATCAAGTAAATTTTATCGACAAATTTAAAATCCTCCAGCCCCACCCCCCAGGGGATAGATTACAACCAGAAAACATGACGACAGTTGTTATGATAACCGCTGATAAGCCAATAAAGCATTTAGAGGGAAAATGTTGTCTCCGATGCACGAGTCACGCAAACGCTTAACAGTCTCGTTTTCTGATTCTACCATCCCTAGCCAGTCACGTGCTTGCTTATTGAAGGAATACAGAGTTCCTGCTTTGTCTTTTTACCGAACTCTCTTTTAAGCTTAAGATCCTCTGTTTCTTTCACAGAGCAGGGTTGTTTATGAAAACTTCCTACAAATGAGTTTTTGTTATCCAGGTCACTCAAAGAAATATCATTAATTCTCTAATAGACAAGAGTTATGAAAACACTTTTTCATTCCGATCAGATTGTTGCTGCATATAATTATGAATTAACTTCGAATCTCTTCCCGAACAAAGTGGAAAAACTGCCACCTCCCAAAAAATCTTAATTTTCTCTTTTACGAACGGAATTTCAACTGACCGACTTCACCAAGTCAAGAAAAAAACCCATCTAACTAATAAAACACAAAATGGATGAATGGTTGACTAACTAATACGAAGAACTTTTCAACGACAATGCTTGACGATGAATTGCTAGAATTGTACCTTGGCTATTGATTAAAAATTCTCAGTATCTAGTTACCCGTTAGATTTTGTAACCAAAAGATCTGAAGACCCATTTAGCAAGTCCCTTATATGCATCTGTAGACTTGATGTAGCTCTTTCTAGTTTCCCAAACGATGGCAATGGGAATCATTATCAACGCTAGAATGAACATAATGAAAATAAACATCTTAAAGCCATAATTCTCCACTTCTGCGGGACTTGGAGGTGCACTCTTATTGTTGGCCTGCAACACAACGTAGGATAGATACAATTGGTTTTCTTTGTACAAAGGTTCACTAGAATTGAGTATTTAACCATCATCTCCCTAAGAGTGATAAGTACCTAATTTCTCCCAACAGCATCAGCCTTGAATCATTACGCAAATTCCCCTTATAATTACCGTGGGAAAGGTAGAGAGAATTTGCATACTGATGTTCGGGTGTAAAGGATTTAAGGATCTGCACAGGTCAAAGCCCAGTTTTCGTGGTTTTGAGTTACGTAATTTGAAAGTCATTTAGAGCATTGTTAGAATGGGTGTCGAGAGTCATCCGAGACAACTTTGCTCATGGATTGGTCTAGAAATCACGGGCAATTCTCTCAACCAGTGAAGTTCATGACCAGCGTGGGCCTAGAGATGAGTGACGATGAAGACGATTGGGGTCTCCCTCATTATTTCCCTGGCTCTACCCGCTATTTTCTTTTGTCCCAATAAACTGACAACCTGAAAAATGTTATTTTGGGTCGGGAATTTCGACCCACCTCATTAGAAGGGCTGACGTCAGGGCCGACGTGATTCGTTGCTGGCGGACCGTCAGGCATCTCAAAAGACGTAATACTCTCGTCAGGCGGAGGACTGGGGGGAAAAACTGAAGTTTCGAACCTCTTTAATTCAGTCTCTTCATTCGGAGTGATGTCTCCACCAACTTGGCCGTTGGGAGAGTTGGTGATATTCAGTACTCCGGTACTTTCCGAGATGCTATCCGAGGGAACTTTTATCCGCCGGGAGATCCTTACACTTGGTGCCCTAACAAACCGAAAAAATCGTGTAAGTGTAATTTTTAACCCAGAGAAAGGCGTCGAACGATGCAGTCAACGGCTAGTAGTTTGAAAACCGGATAAAACAAGGACCATCTTAACTGAGTCCTACTACATTTTGCGCCAAACTTAATTCTAGCGACGACTAAATATTTCTAAAGAGACCATCTCGACCAGATTTCATTCACCACACAATAATTTCTTCAGAACGACGCAAGTCGTCAGTTATTGTGAGGCGCGTTAAGAAAACCTGAAATATTTCGTAGAAAAGGTTGTGGTTATTCATCGTGGTGAATAACAATAAAATCTAAGTTTTTCGTTTGTCTCACAATGTAGTAAAGTGTGTAGATCGCGACGTTTCGACTGCATACTGCTAGTCTTCTTCAAGCGATGAGGTCGACTGGTCATCCATGATCTTATGATCTCATGATCATGCATGACCAGTCGACCTCATCGCCTGAAGAAGACTAGCAGTATGCAGTTGAACCGTCGCGATCTACATCATACGTGACTACATCGTGAGACAAACGAAAAACTTAGCTTTTAAAAACTGAAATGTATGGATCTTGGGTGACGCTGTGCCACAACTAATCCGCAAAACCGCCACAGAATGTCAAAGTAGTTATAATTCTCGAATGACGTTGTTCTGCAAGGGTGAAATAGGGATTGTGTAGACGTTCTAATCGCCGTCGAACAAAGGCTCGAAATCTTAACTGGTGATTATTAGAGCTACATTTTATTATTCCCTGCCACAAATAAATTGATAAATTATGCAGCGGCCATTTGAAATGTCGCCATCACGTAGGGTACAGATTATACCACGAGATATAACATAGTCATCAACCAATCAGAGGGCACATATTCTTATGGCTGATCACCTGCCACCTATTAATCGTTTAAAAAACTGTTAAAGATTGTCCGACGTTTTCCGCGTTAAAAAAAAATTGGTGATAAAGAAGACTTCCTTGCATTATTTCTGTTAATAATTAATCTGATAAAAACCAATATGGATCTCATTTGATCCTAACATCACAGCAATAGATTTAAAAATAAATCTATAACATCAGTAGGTTGGATAACTGGCCGATGTTCGGAAAAGGAAGACAACACACGAGATAACGGCGGAAATCGAGCCAAGAAAAACCGAAGGAGCCGAACACATTCCGAATAAATGACGAACACACAGATGAGGTTTCGAATTCTGACTGGTCCAGAAAAGAACCACAGCTATTTCTAAATACGTCCATGATATTTTTCATTGTTCAGTTGTTGTTTTGCAATGAACACTCCTCTCGCATACTTAAACGACAAACGAGCGCTCTTCCGGAAAAAACATATACCAATAAGCTTTTAACCACACGCAATTAAGCTGTCCACAAATCGAAACCTGAGTGCATAAATATTCTCAACCATCGCAAGGTACAAATTCTTATTGCACAACGCACACTTAGGAATAGTCCATGTCGAAGTCAGTTTTAATGATTCATCTCAGCTTATTTTCTGACCGGAAAAGCGACCGAGAAATGAATGCCAATTGTTTTTTCTGAGTCTGGGACTGAGAATAAAAAAATTTCGCGCATTGAAAAACAAAAAATAAATTTACGTCTGCCTTTGAAGCAGTGTGTTGTATTTACGTGTAAAAACTTTCGCCCAACACAATGCTACGAAATGAATGCCCCCTTTCTTTTTTTCTCTGAGTCCGAGAGAATAATGAGATTTTACGTCTCGAAAAAATAATGAATTAATTTACGGCTGTCTTTGAAGCAGTCTGCTGTATTTTCGTGAAAACGAGACAGAAATGAACGCCTCTTGTTTTTTTTTTTCTGAGTCTGGGAAAATAAAAAGATTTTACCCCTCCAAAAAAGAAATATGCAAATTTATAGCTGCTTTTAAAACGATCTATTGTTTTCACGCGTAAAAACGTCTTAATTTGCGCACCTTGTCTTTGAAAGCAAAACTCTGTGAATTGTTTTCAAGGTGGGATCAACGTCTTCACATAAAACAATCAATCCAAAATATACCATCGAAATATAAAATGACAACGACAAGAGGAAAATTAAAAGACATGGGCAAAATTTGCAAAAACATCTGTCGACCAAACGGGAACAGACGTAATCTGCCTTCATCAGAGGATATAAATATGAATCTAGATATCCTTGGACTTGAAATGTGTTTCTTTGGAACAAAACAGAACTGCAGTCTTTACTTGAAAGAAACGGAAATGTTGAAAGTTGGAACGGAACTGGAACAGCTGCTCAGGAAATGGAATCAGGTTGAGAGGATGCATTCGATTTTAAAAACCGAATGGACGTCACTGGGGGCTGCACTGGTCACAGGTAACTGCCCATCAGCGCGATACATATGGCAAACAATGCAGTACGGTGATGCAAGTCAAAGTATACAACTGTACGTATAAATAACTAAGTAAATAAATGTATAAAGCTAAAAGGAACTCACCTCTTGATCAGTGGCTCTGGACGACTGATCTTCTCACTTTCTGCGATCAGCTGGTCTTGAGTAGGCCCGCTAAAAGTTCAATAATTCAACAGAAGAATCCACTCTTATTTCTCCACGTAAACTCAACTTTAAAAGCGAGAACTGCTCGCTGCCTTTTGCGCTGAACTGGTTTTAGAACCCAACACAGCAGTAAATTCAAAACAGAAAACCTACTTCAGCCGTATTTACATGCATGTCTTAATATGGAAAACAAGCGTCCAATCAAATACATCTATTTCTATGCAGATCGCCCTCTTAGTAGACTAGCGGTCTACCGCTGCCTTTGAGACCTCACCGCTCTCTGTTTAGGCTGCGAGCAGGCTCTGTGTTTGGGTTTCGCCTGACGGCACAGCTGCTTAATATGCCATCGACGGCCGCTTATGGAAAAAAATATTGAAGCCACTGCGAGTGCAATTAAAGAGGTTTTTACAAATACAAAAACAGTTTTCCCCTCCAGAGGTACAAACAATGATTTCACATTCACACCGCGCGAACACAGATTGCACAGCTTAGAGTCGATCGAGGCGTACACAAAATAACGCCCTTAATATCTCAGAATAGTTTTGATTGCATGAGCCTCCCAAAGGGAAATACTTTTGAAAATAACGAATTGCCTCGATTGCAACAGTGAGAAGTAAACACTTTCATAAGAAAATTTACAACTTTCTGCGGGAATGAGGCTGTGTTACGTATCTCTGTTACGTGTTCCCTATACATGTTCCTGTCAAGGGTCCCTGTGAAGTTCCTTTCCCCTGTTCCTACTACATGTTTCTACAACGCGCCCCTCAATAAGTTCCTTTCCCCTTTTTCCATATTGTGCGCTCCCAAAACATGCCCCTAATAGGTTCCTTTTACCTGTCCCTGTCGCGAGTCATTGTTCCATATCCCTACCGCACCTATCGGTTCGGTGCCCTTCACCTGTCCCCATTGTGTGTTCCTTTTTTAGGTCCCCACCACGAGTGAATGTTCCCATGAGGTTACCCTTGCCGAATTTTAGATGCCCCGCTCCCGCACAGTGTTCTTGTTGCATACACATATCCCCTTACACGAATCATCGCAGAGACATACTTACATGTACTTATGCTTTGATCTTCTAAAAAGCCTCTGAGGTGAAATTGCCTTTCGTTTGGGCTTTACTACTGGAGTCTCTGAATGACTATAAAGACCAAAAAGACCAAAAAATATTCATGGAACCAAAAACAATTTACGAGCATAGACTTTTCAAAAACAGTTATGTATAAAAAAAAATTAAAGTGCAATTAGCCAGCTATCAATCCAATGGCTCCAAGGGAGTCAATGTAGCCCCCACCCCTTTCCAAGACGGGATCTAAGTCCACCGCTAATATCCTAACCAGGGCATATGTTAACCTTTGCCAATTGAGAAAGGTGCAAGAGGTCGAATGTAAGAGTACTCTGGGAATGATATTCACCTGTCACCCCCCTCCCCCTTCCCCCTAAGTATTTCATCAAGTTTCTTGGATAGTTCATTTAGGGTTTGATCATTTTTAATAATTGAAATCCCTGAAATCCCAGATGGGTACGTGTCAGTGATGTGATTGGTATATTTGTCCCAACTTCACTCACTTGATAATTACCTGTAAAATGCAAGATGTTCTATAGCACATTTCCATAAATGCTTGCATGCCAAAGGATCAGGGAGTCTGAAGCCATAGTTGGCCTTGCGCTGAAACACAACAATAACAACCAAAAGGCCAGTTAAAAAGATAAGTTGCCCTCCTGTAGAAACTTTCCACTCAACAGTAAAACAATTATTACCAGATTGACTTCTAATCTGTTATCATAACTTAATCTGCTTTAAATTATAACCCTTTCACTCCTAGGACCTCATTGATAATTCTCCTTACTGTCTACCTTACAATATTAAAGATGTTGGTTTGGGGAATTTGGTATTGTATCAAGTCATAATTCTCACACACAAATATACTATATCATTCTCATCACTTGTCTGCTTGATTTGTACTGATAATGTAAAGAGATATTCCATCTTGGTCACTCATGGTTGAAACATTGTACATAGTTCGTAAAACATCTGTAAATTTAATCTTCAAAACTCAAGAATAAACTTAAGGGACGTTATTCTCTTATTTTACTTACATCATCCTTTTGAACCTGCACATAAAAGACTTTGTTCTCATAGGTGCACTTTACAACTTCACTCCTTCAAACAAAAGAACAGAAGGAAAGTTTATTCTTCTTTCAAAAGAGCATATTTGGGAAAGATAAATATACATATAGCAATTACCTGTCTAGGTATTTCACACCTCAATGGCTGATGATCTATATTTAATATGTTTGGATATGAGCCAGAAAAACTGAGTCATACACTTGAACTAATTGCTTACTTGTAAACTTTCCAAATAACACTCATACAAATAGGAAAACAAGGTTATCTTTTCTGGTTTTTACTGGTTCTGTTTGACTTTTCCTTTCTTTTGATAAGATCCCACCAGAAATATTTTTTTCCAGCAGTGGGAAGGAACAACAGCAGAGGGAAAAAAAAAGGACCAATTTGTCATTTCACTGTAATTGGAAGTTTCCCTGTAAGTGTTACTTTCACAACGAATGAAATATAAAGGATATGTATAACAAAAGGCAATCTATGACTGCATGTGCCTACTGTTGTAGCAGTAAAAAAGCGATGTGGTGTAAAATGCAGAGGGTAAACAAAACAGCCCATGTTGAAGCCAATTTAGTGACAAAAGGAGGACTTGTTTATAACAGAGTTTGTACACCTGTTAATTGAAAGGCTGTACAGTAGATAGGGCAGGAAATGAATGTGCATCAAATGTATTTTGGAAGGCATAGGAGGCACAAAAAGAAAAAGAGTGAATGAAATTAAATTGAAATGAAAATTGTGGGAGGTGTTTGAGCTTGAAATTTTTACACAATTACTTAATCCCAGGACAGGTGCCGCAGACACAGAGACTCCCATGAAACAAGAGCTATTGAGTTGGAGGATTTAAAACAGGTAACCTCTGATATCAAATTCCCCACCCTAAACGACCACTTTGCTATGCCCTGTCCTCCAATTTACATGACAACAAAATGGAAGATCTGATATACCCTACGTTACAAGGCCAGAGCACTGACTAACCAAACAAATCCTGACACTTTCTTTCCTTCTCTGATGATGGCAATTCCTCCTGGAGTGAGACCAAGGTAGAGTTGAACATTATCTTGATCCTGTGAATGAAACAAGCATTGATTCTGATATTTAGTATTCTAGAAACCCCTGTGTACATCACAGTTAAACACAAAAGTACTGCAGAATCTACCTTTCTCAAAGATCAGCTAGCTTCAACTAAGAAAGCAAATCTAATGATGGTTGAGGAAAATAAAGAAGTAGTCTGTGCTTGAGCCAAATGGTTTACCCAGCCAGAGCTTATCCTAGTTTCCTGAGCATGAAGTGAGTATTACTAGGAGTGTTACTACATGTACTTCCCCTGGATGGGATGCCAGTCCATTTCAAGGTTACCCCCCTCCTCCAGCATTTTATCAGGCTTCCCTGACAATGTGCTGGTACCCACTCAGACTCCTGGGTGTAGAGAAGCACTGTGAGAGCAAAGCGTTTCCCCAAAAACCCAACACATTGACTCAGGCAGGTCTTGAACCTTGACCTGTTGTCCCAAAGTCCAGTGCAATGATCAATACGCCTCCTTGTTTCTCTCAATGATTATGATGAGGTGGGAAATGATGACAGCATCAATATCAGGGTTTGGATATTAATCTGTCTCATACCTTGCATGGGTGAGGATCCACTCCATACATATCAAGAGCCTTGACTTTGTCAAGAAAGTTCTTCTCAGCCACAGCAGGTACTTGGCCACTGTGAGAGAAAAAATGTTTGACATCTGATCAATTAAGGGTCAAATAAAGCTGTTTATTCAAGACAGCTCTTAAATAGTTAGCAAAGTATAAGAATTCTTGTGGGATATCATAGCTTTGGGACAAGCAAAAGTTTCCTGTGAACAAATGTGCCCCTCAAATGAAGCAACAAATGTTACAAATATTTTTAAACAGTGAATAGAGGTGCGCCAAATAAGAGGTTCACAGTATTAACCCATCAACTGTGTTTTTTCAGATGTCCAAAGAAACTACTGTCCTACAGACTAGATGCACCTGTTAACATATATCTATTTATTTCCTGTGAAATAAGTTAGGAGCATGGTTGTGCTACATGCAAGTCTCATCGTAGGAAAGAGCATTTAACAGACTTACGCAAGCTGCTTGTGAATTTCCATAATCTTCTTCTCAAGCTTTTCTGACTGTTTTGGAACAATGCGGAACTCAGATACATAGGAGTCACCATGCTCATCTGGATCATAATCCCCTATCTCACCTATTAACAGAGAAATGAATCAATGAACTTTTATTGAACTTTATCACACTTCTCAAAAGGAATTATAAATATAATATCATAGACTTAAATGAAATACCAGGATTTCCACTGTTTTTAAAACATGATATCTTAACTGTGCTCAGTCAAACATATCATCCATATCTTCACGTGTGAAGATTTGAATGTTGTTATAATAGCTAGGTCAATCAACATGGCACTTTTACTTTTCGTGAGGGTTTTATTTAAATTTGCTAACAGTACAAAGTTTGAATTCATTTTTCCTAAGATAAGGTGGATTTTCTGGGGGCTGAGTCTACATGTACAGTACATGTCTGTGACCTCTGCTTTTGTAGCTTTTTCCTGAATATTAAATATTCTTAATCTCAATATGTAACGTATATCTTTAAAATAAACAGAATATGACACGTTTGTTTTTTGATACAATTTGATCTGCTTTTGTTGATAACATCTTTATCTTACACTTGTTTACTTCAACCACTTGTGAGAGATATTATTATGCACAGTGGAAGATAAACTTCCCCTTCAAGGCTAGTTGTGTGGTTTCCTTTACATATCAGGTAAATCTAGGTCCCTTGCACTTATGCCAAATTCAGTTTATATAATTAAGTAAATCAAATTGCAGTGATAATAGAATGATAATTTTATTCTCTGAATTACCTTGCACAATGAATGCTCCCAGTTCAACCAAATCATTAAATGAGCAAAGGAGTCTGTTACAAATAAAATTGAGAAAATTCTTATTTAAATAGAGTGAAGCTTATAACATGATGTTATTGAATTTTGCGTGAGAAGCGGAGAGAGAGTATACTTAAACATCTGCAAAGACATGCCTCAAGTGAACAAAAAAAATCTTGTCATCTGAAAATGATTCTGCTTATTATTGATTAGAAGAAGCCCACCAAGACAGCCCACTCATTGAAAGAATTCTATGATTAATCAATCTGACAGGATCATTTCGCTTCCTAAATTGTATCAACTAGAATACTTAAGCTAGCATTAATCTGATTGAAGATGCTTATTCCATTTGATCATATACAATATGTTAGTTGAAGCAGACAAACAACAACTACACACAAAGGTTTCCTTGTAATAATTTCTTTTACACGAACCAACACATGAAATATCAGGCTTTTCCCAAAGCCAGTTGGCAACACAACCAGTAGATCCTTTCCAGAACCAGAGTAAAAATTGCTTCTTTTGGTTCCAATTTTGATATACAAGACATATTAAATTCCGAAAAACACTCAATTGCCTCCTCCAAAGCGAAATTGAAACTGACAACTACATCATTCACATTTTCCCGCAGGAGCAAAATGTCCAAATGACACATTTGGCTTGTGATTGACAGCTAGAGCTTAACTGCACCAATCAGGAACACTGTTCATGGGTGAACAGAGTTTTGCAAAATAACATTGACCTCGGGCAGGTATAATCTTCACTCCCCTATCCCCTGCCCCTCTCCTTATTTTTGACCGTCAATTGCCCTCTTGGTACAAATTGCTTTCTCTCCTTAGCCTTGCGCTACAATTGAAATCAAAGACAGTGGCCATAGTTTTTGTAAAGAAAATACAGAGCATTGTTTACCAAAATTATACCTGCCCTCCAGGTTAGCAATAGCACAGCCTAACAGAGAACCAGCAAATCTGGTGTACATCTCTTACCTGCCATGCAGAATATCCCTTTTCACTTGAAGGAAAAACTGATACCTAAGTTAACATATAGAAGAATTATTTCATTTCAACAAATCACTTCTTAGAAAATGAGGAAAGTGTTTCAGTACACTCAAACATTTCACTCCTATCCCCTTGCTGATATATTTTTGTTGTTCACATCACTTGTCTGCTTGATATGGTATTGATATTGTACAGAAAAAAATTATCTTGGTCACTTGTGGGAGTTGGAGGCTTAAAACTCCTATTATTTTTCACCTTCAGGTCCTTGGAGGCCATCTACCAAAAAATTTAACCGTTCTATTTCCTAATTTCCCCTGCCAAATTTTCATTTTATGGAAAGGATTACAGAAAATACAATTCCAATTATCATTAGCCTGTATAACACACCTGGTTATTTCCTCGTGGAGAGTACTTGGATCCACAGCATAAAACTTCACCCTGAAAAACAACTTGTAGGGAGGCTTCAGAGCTGCAAGTAAAGAAAAACAAACAAAAATTTTAAATATTAAGCATACAAACACCAACCCATCATCCTCAAGTGATCTATAATGGATCTCTGGTCACTGACAAAACAAACTTGTATGACTACAGCTTCAAAATTACATTTTATTTAATATTACAAGCTAAATAAACTCAAAACTAGACAAAAAAAACATTACACCATGACAATCATCCTAATTTCCACAAAACCTTGATTAAGAAAAAAGAGAGAGAGAGCTGAGGAAAGAAGATTGTGTCCAAACTCTCTGGGATATATTTGGAATTTTTCAAGTGATCATATCCTGTGCAAAAAAAAATGCTGCACTTTCAAGTTGAAAACGAGTGGCTGGTGTTCTACAACACTTGCCCCAACTTGAATCCTAACAAGACCGTCAGTTCAAATCTTAAAAAAGCCAGGAACAACAAACTGCTCTGAATTAGCCATAACAAGGGTGATACTGGTTGAAAAAAACCACCTTAAGCCCAAAAAAAAAACCCATATAGTATAGAATTCTGCTTTGCTTTAACCAGAAATACTGAAGGTAATCTGAATAAAAATTAGGACTAGAAAATACTTACTCTTCATCTGTCTGATAACACTCTTATTAAGATCAAGCCAATGCTACAAGAAAATGTCAAAATAAATTGGTGATCATTTCCCTTCTTCTCATGACCTTTACATTTGATTTAAGGGTGATACTGTGAGGAGAAATTCAAAGCTTGTCACTCTTAGGGGCTAAAGAGTTAGTGCATTTGCTCTTTACCAATCTGATGCAAGGTACTTTGTTAAGTACACAACAGGAAAACATTTGTTGAACACAGAAATTATGGTGAAGTTATTATGGGTTGCAATCAAAACTTATTTACTAAAAGCTAATCCACTTGCAATAATGACAATTTAGAACATGATTTTCAAGGCTCATTGTGTGACAAAGTCCTTCAATTGAGCACGTGTCATTAAAAATCAATGTGCAGATAAGCTTATCTCCTGAGCAATCACGGAAATTAGTGCGAGAAAGGGCGTTGAATTTAAGTAAGACACACATCAAGACCCTTTTAATTAATACCGCTGTGGGAGTTTAACTTTTTTATTTAAAACTTGCGGAAAAAGGGGAAAGAAAAGAACACAATTACAAACAAAGAAAAACCTAAATATTAGGAGCTGCAAAAGACGCCATGCCGTAAACAATTCTGGCAAACCTCTTAAAGTTCCTAAAACAAGCAACTAGTATACATCACCTACAATGTAATAGATTTCAAAGTAATTTGCACACAAATACGTACCCGTTGTTTAGCATCATCAACAAAGCGAAGACCAAAATAATCTTTCTCCAGCAAATCAAGGGTTTTGCAAACTTCATCAAAGACTGCCTGACCCTTCACGTCTCGCTGTATTCACAGACAAACAAAGAAGAGTTGATAATTAATCTTTATATTTGGACTGTGAACAGCAGCACCAAGCCCAAAAATACAACATTTCAGGATAACACAGGATACAACCCACTACTGCTTCACAAACCGGCCAAATCGACTCGCTTGAGCTACATACAACATGTCACCGTTGGTAAAAACCAGCTGGACGTTGCATATTATTTAAGTTTCGAAGGGGTTTCGAGCTGCATAAATTGATGAAGCTGACAACATATATGCAGATGTTTGCCGGCGAGGTAAACGAAAAGAGACACACTGTGATTTGGTGCAATTCCCCAAGACAAAGATTGTTTCTACTTCGATATTGACCACGACTTTTTGTCAATAAACCAGAATTTTTTCAAACTAAGGTTCCTCGAGATGGAAATTCTTGTGAGCACTCTGGTTTCACGTGCTCACTGCAGAATACAAAGATCAATACCCAAACATCGTACGCAAACAATCCGACACTGTACATTAGCACGTTTCCTTTGACACTCAATTTTTAACTAAGTAAGTAAGAAATACTGACAGGTAGTCTGAATAAAATAAGACAAGATCGAACAAAGTAACTCCACGAGCAAAAATCTTCAACCTCGTTATGTCACGCTTGAACAAGTTTAAGACGATCGCGTGTAACTTCAGCTAGTGTTCATTTCGTCGCTATAGTTCGTGAAATTTCTGTCTCTGCCAATATTGCCATCTCTTCGAATGTGTGACTCTAAGCTTTTCTTTAACAACTTACGGACTTTAAACGCATTCGTGTTGAAAATGCTAATTAGTTTTTCCCTAGAACAAAAATGGTTTTAACCACTCCAGAGTGTGTTTGTATGAGTCGCATTTTACAAAGCGACCGCGATGGGAAAGTATTATTCACAAAAAGTTTCCGAAATTCTGCAAATATCGGGAGGGCAAGGAGAGAAGTAAATCCCATCGATTTACAAAAAATATGCTGGTCATGACAAATTTACACAATGAAAGATATATGGCAGTTCGATGTTTCTTGGTCATGCACGAACAAACTTTTCGAAGTGTAGAGGGAAATAAAAATGAATTCGGCGAGATTCCACGAACGATCGACACAAATAAAGTTTGAAGACACGCAAAATTCGAATTTATCTCTCCCTATAAAAAGGGAATACGAACTTCGAGGCATTTGCTCCGAATCCACTCCATGTTGCAAATTTATTCCACGAAACGTATTCGTATTTGTTTACTATCATTCCGGTCCTTCGAAAACGCACAGTGTGTCTGAGGCTTAAGCCTTAATGATCCCTACTAAAATTTCAATAAGCGCTTTCCCGACTAAAGCTAAATTACAGGATCTGTTGAGAGAAAACAGGGAAAGATTACAGGTAAGTTATGCAAGTCTGACCGCCATAATTGCAGAAGGAAGCAGCAAAGATCACTTTGATACAGCTCGTCTTTTATTACTTACTCGAGACAAAAATCTTACCTTAAAATCGCATGTCAATTCCGTATCGTCTAGAAGGCTGATTTTACACTGAAACTCTCCCTCTAGGTTACTCCTACTGCCAAACTTTATCATCTTTGGTTGACTTTAGAGTAATTTGCTTGAGCTGCTCATGGACAGGGTTGCACACGGTGATCGGACGCCGAAAGAGCTAGCCTCACTGCCGCGTTCTTTCTCGTGCTCTCCCAAGGAACATTGCGCATGATCATGAATTTTTAAGAAACCATGGCCCGGATGTAAAAGCCACAGGTGTACGTACGCGTTAACTCGCTTAACTCTCACGAATCGACCGCAAAATCTACCGTTCGTTTTCGCAATTTCACAAGGATAGGTTCAATTCGAACGGTTCTGAGGTTACGTTTACAAATCTATTTCGTTAAAAGGAAACTGGGGAAGGTCTCAACGAAGGCATTCTTAGAACATTTTCACCCTGGGAATCAGCAGGACAGCAGGCATTGTTCCTCTTCGAGCAAACGCAAGTGCCTGCAAAGCAGCGTTCAACTTTCAAAGAGTACTTTGCACTAGCAAGATGGCCGGTATTTCATTGATTTTTTTAGATGGGAGGGGGGTGAGGAGGGTGGTACCGGCAACATCCGGGGAAGGCAAGCAGGAAGGGTATGGGACAAGGGATCGAGAAGTACTCACTCTCTATCCCACCCCGACTCTCCCTTTCCTACTAATACGGCCGATGTGACGTCTCGAGAAAACGTTCTGTTGCTTTTTGTAATCTACGACTTTCACCTGAAAAAAAGGCAATTTGTATTTTTTTTTTAAATTTTTAATCTCCCTTTTTATATTTAACAGAAAAATATTGCAGGCAATATGAGGTTAGTGAAGCTGCTATTGAAACTATAGTACATATAATGATGTTGTGTTTCGGTCAGCTTTGCGGAGCAATCTAAACAGTTCTCAAACCTAATATCTGATTACGTCGTGTAGTTTATGGCTTATTTTGAGCATCGCGGCCTCTTCTTACGATTTCTCTCCTTTGTCTCAAGAGAGATAAAAACGATATCTCACCACCGAAGACGCCAGACTATCTTCCCAATGACGAAAACTACGACCATGACAGAAATGAATGTTTTGAATGAAGAGAATGATGATCAAAACCCATCAAAACTCTTTACGAGCCGACCGAGACCTTCCAATTTACGCACTTCGCCTCGTGCGACCCACCAGGCGTAAAATGTGGTTTCATTAAAGGCGAAGCAATAAGACTGCTTAGAACTAACTCTTTAAGAAAAAATTTGAAGAGGACCTTTTGAAATTCAAACAACACTTGAAAGCAAGAGGGTACCCAGAAAACATCATAGAAAGGTCTCTGTCAGGGGTCAACTTTGTCTCTGGACAATCGGCTCTTACACATACACAAAAGCCAAAAGATCACGGACGTTTATTGATTTGTCACAACGTACCACTCGGCCGTTTAAAAATTTAAAACAAATATTGATGGAATATTGGAGTCTGATACACAATAAGCCCTTGCTGTAAACAAGTTTCACAAAACCTCCAATCATCTCCTACAAAAAGAGGGGAAAATCCCTTAAAGACATGTTTGTAAGAGCAAAAATATAATTTGAAGGCGATAATGCGACGCGACCACAAAGCCACATGGGGAGCGCTTGTCGGTCTGTCTTTACCTTTATTCTCATAATTTGTTAATGAACTAATGAAATGGTAAGCCTGGAAAAATGCCCAAGACCACTCAGAGATTGAAAGTGCCCTTTATCTCAGTGCCAGCCTGGAAATTTAATTCGTTTGTGTGCACTTTACTAATTACAATGATGTTGTTTGGTTCACGAAATTCAGAATGTCTGTTACTTACTTTGTCGCATGTGGGCAAGAAAATTTTTAATAACAGAGAATTTCCGCCGGATTTCATCTCTGAAAAGGTCCTTTCCTTTTATGTTATTCTGTTATTGTTGAGAAGAGGGACAATCCGTATCAGAAGAAGAGGAAAGAATAGTTTTAAACTTAGTTTTGTGGTCCTTTCCCCATATTTTTCTTCCGATTTTTTTTTGCAACTGAAATTGATCGCTTCCCTGATCATGACTTCCACTCAACTAACTCACTTGATTTCTTGTTTACAGAGGCGTCAAAATTTGCATCGATTTGTAAGATGATTAAATCAAAATGCAAATGTATTTTCGGTAAATATCTACTGTCATCACTTTGTCGCGCATCGTGGCGCGTTTTGCGGGTTATAATGGAGATCTTGGCGAGCTAAAATGTATTTCAGCCCGCTTGCACGTTCGAGTAAATGTTCAAACCGTTTTTGTTTTTGTTTTTTTTATTATTTGATCAGTGCCCTCTAAAGTGATAGTAATATAAATTTATGTTTTTGTACATAAATCTGTTCTGGGCCCCTGTCAAAGTTCATTCTAGCCATCGCTTTGTGACTCAAACTGAAATGATTGTGAGTCGTGCTCAAATCATATTGATGCCCGAGAGTATGCAGTCTATTGATTTATTATTTTCCTTTTAAGAAATTCCTTCCATATTGGGCACGCGGTCCTCAGAAAAATCGGATTTTAGAATCACCAATTATTCTTAGCATGTCATAATATCTACCACACTGGCGCCTTACGACTTATAATAATTACGAGCCAGTTTTTCCGGATTTGGATCTGCTTCAAGTGTTTACCGGTATTGTTGTATAAGAGCGAATCTATGAGGGGCTTCGTCACGGTTTGTGTTGCGCATGCGTAATCGATCGGCGTGCTCGAAGAACCTCATAGCTTTTATATCTGTCACTAAAAAGAGTGTATGACAAATGACTACTTACCGTGGTTTGCGACTCCAAACTAATAAATCGTTCGACTGGATTGTCTACAGGTTTGCTGAATATTGGTCTTTCATTGGACGCTGCCATCGAGAAGGGTACCTTAGTAACTTGGCCGTACCAACAAAACCACAACGCTTGAACCAGAAGCAGTTGCGGCTTTGGTATTCGGAAAAAACATCATCATTTGAGTCGAGAGTGACTTTTTTGTAGCTCTTAATTGTTCAAAAAAACTGGCTGGCTGCTGGAAAAGTGGAAAGAGGATCAAGACTCTATTACATCACAAGCGAACGGCTGAGGCAAACTCGATCCCAGGGTTCGCTCTCTTCTTCTTCTTCTTCAGGGAGGAAGATAGACTACTATGAGACCTTGGTAATTTAGTATTATCAACTGAGTTGATAACGTGAATTGGCTAGCGTTAAAATCTGAGTTTAAAAGCTTACGTTTCGGGCGTTAATCCTTCTTCAGAGCGATTGGTAGGGTGTGGGTTGTGTGTGTGTTTATCTGCAGAAAATGGAGCTACGTTATTGGTGGGAATGTGGTGACGAGAAAATAAGAATAAATTATTTGAATAAAAAGCGCTTGTTAATACCGTGGGAACTAAGAGCGCCGATTTGAGAGATAAATTAATGTTCTAGAGTTTTGCGGCTTGGCGAACTGCTTAGATGTAGGGAAAGGCCGCAAACTGCCATATGCTGCTTAGAATGGTTAGCGACTGGTTTGGATGCGTCCTTGACATTTCTTTCTACGTCGCGAAGGTGTTCTCGGAATCTGTCGCCTAGTCGTCTTCTTGTTTCACCAATGCACAATTTTTTGCAATAAGCGCAAGTTATGAAGTAGATGACATTGGTGGAGGTGCACCTGAAGTGATCAGTGATCTAAATGGATCTATTTGGTGCCGACATTCGTAGAGAGATCGTAAAGAATTTATTGAAATCGAGACAAATCATACAGTTTCAATAGCATACTTCTCCAATAATCATTTATATTTCT